TTTTTTTACTATTTACATTATGTTATCTGACTTACTTCGTGTTTGATGCCAGTTAGAGCTGATTGACACAACTTATTGTGTATGTTGTATTTAGTTTTCCTCGATTTCTCGTTTTTCCATTCGTATATTTTCAAAGGCGGGGATTACCTTGATTTTGAGTCAACCTCTACTCTACCTGAAAACACAGTATAAAGGTTCAATTGTTCCAGATAATTTCATGTCTACCATTTTACTGGTGATTTTTCAGTTAAAGTGAAGTTTCGATTTCCGTGCAATTCCATTTGTATCTTATGAAATTGGTTATGTCTCGCCAAGCTTCAAAGTCTTTGAACTTTGATTGTATTTTTGTAGGTTGAAAATGGAAAAGCTCAGGCTGCAAATTTTCCTTTCTGCACAATAGAACCGAACGTAGGGATCGTTCCGGTCCCCGATCCACGTCTTAATGTGCTTTCTGAGCTCAGCAAATCTCAACGAGCAGTCCCAGCATCTATAGAGTTTGTCGATATTGCAGGTCTTGTGAAGGGAGCTAGTCAAGGGGAGGTGAAACAGTTTGATCCGACTATATAAATACTGTTTTATAAACTTTTAGTGATTCCTTTTGTGATAGATTATATTGTATAGTTGTTTAGTCTAATGATGTTTTCTATGTCTTGTTATATAATTGCAGGGTTTGGGCAATAAATTCTTGTCACATATTCGTGAAGTGGACTCTATTCTCCAGGTATCTATAATATATTACTTTGTAGGTATGTTTCCATCATGCTTACGGCTCATCAATTCTTTTGGTGTCCGGATCTCTAACAAATGGGATTTTGGATAGATCTATCCCACTTTTTCCGGTTAACCAAAGAGGTTTAGTACATGAGTTTTAAACTGAAATTGGGATTCAATTCAGATTAATAATCCCTTTTATTTCGTTTTATCTTTTTTCCCACCTTCAGGAGAAAAAATATCCCCTATATCCTTAGATTTTTCTGAAAGGTAACTACTAAGGCATATTTGACTGGAATAATCTGGATTAAATCGTTATTTTAATTTTTTCATTTTTGGGAAACTTTCTTGACGAGAAAGCTCAGCCATATCAGCATGAACCTATAAAGGAACTATTATGATCCAACTCTGTTCCGTATATTTTCTGCGATTACACATTCTTGTTTTTGTTTCCATACAGGTGGTGCGGTGTTTTGAAGATAACGATATCATTCATGTGAATAATAAAGTTGATCCAAAATCTGACATTGACGTCATCAATTTAGAATTGGTCTTCTCAGATTTAGATCAGGTAATCTGTGCCGCAATTTCAAATGATTTTGGATGATGCAATGTATAGGTCACATTCTTGACCTTTCAAACTTAGTCCAATACCACAGGTGACTACAATAAACATTAACTATGTGCTGTTAACATCACATTTAACAAGTTCTACAAATCTCAGAATTTTAGTCTCAATAAAAACGCACGATGTTGTTGTTTAGACACAATGCCACATGGCTAATTCCTCAAGTTAAAGACCACGAAGTGGATATCACGTGGAATGTGGTTTTGATCATCAGTGAAGAGCCTGGCTGAAATACTAGGGCTGAAAATTAGCCTGTCTACTAAAGAATGTGTTGGTGAATTTGGTGACTTGGAGATAACTGAGTATTATATACAACTAAACTTTTTTAGCACAATCCATGTGGATGCGTATTTTGAAGGTTGAAGGTAGAGAGAGTGGCCTATCCATCTGGGTTTACGTTTATCACTATATTTTATCTTCAGTTCTCTCTTCTTTGTTTAGGGAAGAACTATGGGCCATAGACAACTATTTTGAACTCATTTTGTATCTCTACAAGAGTTGCAGGTAGAAAAAAGAATGGATAAACTCAAGAAGGGTAAAGCAAAAGACCCACAATCCAAAATGAAGGTGCAGTATGCTGCTTTCAGATTCGTATTTTTAATCAGCTATTATTATTCGGCAATGATCCTGTGTCTCTTCTGTTGTAATATGCTCATACCAGGAGGAAGCAGAGAAGTCTGCACTGGGAAGAATCGAGCAGGCACTGATGGATGGAAAACCAGCACGATCAGTTACCTTAACAGATTTTGAGAAGGATGCCGTAAGGCACCTCTGTTTACTTACAATGAAACCTGTCATATATGTAGCAAACGTGGCAGAATCTGATCTTGCTGAGCCTGAAAGCAATTCTCATGTTAAAGAAGTTATGAACCTTGCTTCTGAACTGCAGTCTGAAATAGTAACCATCTCGGCCCAGGTCAGAAAATCGAGTTTTTTCTTTTTCTTTTTCTTTTTTTTTTCTTTTTGTTTTGTTTTCTCGTAACCTTCAGTCTTCTTTTGGAAAGGGGGGCTATAGTGATCCTTTTTTTTTTCGGCATTTTGATTTTTGAGTTCGTATTTTCATGTAGGTTGAGGCAGAGCTTACTGAACTTCCACCAGAAGAAAGAATCGAGTATTTGACATCCCTTGGCGTTAGCAAAAGTGGCCTGGGAAATCTGATTAGGGCAACATACAACCTTCTCGGACTGCGTACTTATTTCACTTCAGGCGAGAAGGTGAATAAATAAATAAAAAAAATTATTAGAATGATGGATGTTACTTTCGCCCTGGTCATTGCACAATCTTATTGTTATTCTTTTTATAGGAAACAAAAGCTTGGACCATACGATCAGGTAATCCCTTTTTTTTCTTATGTTTGCCACTATTCATCCTTAAGTGGTCTATTTGTATATAGCTAGGCCTGAACGATATCTGTGTCTGTACGTGGATAGCTTACTCATTTGGGAAGAATAGAGATACTGGAGGCCTTCTATTTTTGAGTTTGCCCACGTTTTCAAATGTCGTTGCAAAGTCCAGCCTTTTGTAATTTGGCTCGTCTAGTATCTGATTTATATCAGCTTACATGCTTGAGAATTATGTTACATGTATCGACCCATTTAGTTTTCATTATCTGCAGGAATGACTGCACCTCAAGCAGCTGGTGTTATACATTCCGATTTTGAGAGAGGCTTTATTAGAGCGGAAACGGTATTTATTTTTTCTCAACACAAGTACTATTATTTCCTTTGCACTTAATGTGGCCTATAGAAAAGAGGATATGTAAAGCAACCAACATTCAGTGTTACATCATTCATTGTACTTTCAGCTTTTTTAAACCAAGTGGTTGTCTTCAGGTTGCATATAATGATTTTGTTGCCGCTGGTTCACTTGCGGCTGCGAGGGAGAAGGGGTTGGTAAGTTGATTTTCACTTTCTGAACTATTTACTTCTCGTATTTATATCAAAAAGATGTCTATAAATGGTAGCCATGAAACCAAGAAAATGTCCCAAAATTCTCCCAATCTAATCTATATGCCGTTTATATCTCATTCTTTATAAGATGTTTTACTTACTTATGAACTAATCGATATTGACGTTCATGCAGCTGAGATCAGAGGGAAAAGATTACGTGGTGCGAGAAGGAGACGTGATGCTGTTCCGGTTTAATGTCTAAATGACATAAGAATAACCGGGCTTTCCATTGAATGATCAAGTTGGTCGATATCAAGAGCTTTTGGGCCATACATGAAGACAAAGATGAAAGAACCTTTAGACAAGAAAGACCGATTCTTGGTGACTCAACATACTGTTTATAAGATGTGATTCGACCAAAATCAAAGGTTCGCTTCAAAGGGTTGCTCGTTTATACTTGCAAATACGGAACATTTTTATTTAAACTTCTATACAGATTAAGGGATTGTCTGTAGTAGTTTCTTCCTGCATTTGAAGTTATGTTTAATCTTACACGTTTTTTGGATGAGATGAGATGCATTGTTTTATCAGGCGACTAGTATGTGTCATGTCACATACCAATGTTAATATTTCTCAAATGGAAATGCGAATTAATAATTTTTTGTTTCCAACATTTTAATCATATATATTAAAGATAATTGTCGTTTTAAATTGTATAATTCGATTATACTGAAAATTAATTTTAAAGTGTTCTTTAATTCATTCATCTTGATTATTGGACGTGTAAATTTCGATTTTGACATTTGCTTAGTAACGAGGAAAATCCTAGGGTTAGATATACGACATGAATGAAAAAAAAAAGAAAGTAAAATTGGGTTGGATGATTAATTATATTTGAATTTTATAAATGGTGTATGAGATAAAATTTGATGATTAAAATTGTTAATATAAAAAATAATTAA